CTTGTTACTCCTTGGTCCGGTTGACCATTCGAACGGCTGCTAGTGCCCCGACGGCACATTTCAGCCAAGGTTTCCGCAAGCTGTTGAATGTTGACTGCCGGTACTTTTGAGATAGTGTCACGCTCAAATTGGATGAGCCCTTTCCAAAATGTTTCATCGTAGCAATCAATTGGCCAGTCACGCGCAACCCCAATAGCTCCTCCTACAGTTGGTGCGTGGTTGCTTGCCAAACGCGCATACATCTTCTTGTTTGTCTCGATTTTCTTGTGATGGGTGGTCTGCGCCTGGACCATTCGATCGAGATTATGGAGTATATTGGTGAGAAGAATACTACGGTACCCAGGAAATACCCGGACAGGATTAACTCCCTCCTGTGCATCTTCAATATCAGAATGACAGTCCTTATCCTCAAGTACAACAGCTAATTGTGGAATTCCTTTGAAGATCTGATCCGCCACCCTACATCTCTCTTCCTTGATCTGTTAAAGTGAGGAAAAAGTCATCAGGTTTTGTCACGGGTGAACAAGAGATGATCAAACCAGGAGAAGGGTAACTAACTTTTTTGCGCCATCTCATGTATAGAGCCTTTGTTGATTTTTTCGATTTGATCTTGTTGTACTCGGTTATATCCATTTCTCCGTACTGTTGAATCTCTCGAGATTCAGTTTGGAGCCAGCGCTTGATGATTGCAGCCGCTTGTGCTTCCTCCTCTTCACTTATCTTCATAGTTCATCTCAGCCATTCCACCGATTTCTTTCCCATCACTTTGATCACCACCGAGTTCCAAGCAGAATCCTCATCACGTGGAACGTTACAATCAAACGTGAATCGGGAGATCCCTGCCAAGGCTAGAGCACGTTCAACATCCCCCTTGGTTTGGAGACTGATGGGCCTTCCTCCTCCAAGATCACCTTTCCTTGGAGCCGGGTGGAATGCCAGAAGCACGATCTTCTTACGTATTTCCTTCTCCGCCTGTGCCAGGTAGAAATCTTGCTCCGCAGGCGATTTGGCAGAGAGGCTGGTACGCAACCTCTCCAGTTGCTCGAGTATTATTTTTGAATGCTTGTCCACCCAGTATAGACCCCCCTTTTTGTCCGGTGTTGGTGATGCTGGATAGTCTTGAGGAACAGTAGGGCCTCCGAGGAAGAACTTCAGAAAATGTTGGATGCCACAAAAATATGTGTCGCAGTGCTCATTGATGGTTGCCTTGTTTGAAATCTTTCGAACCCGGCGCTCCTCCCGTAATCGTGCCCCCGTTCCTCCACATTAGCTCTTTCCCCGCGGGCATGGTCAACAACAAAATCAGCCTCCAATCGGCTCCGGTCAGTTACGCCTCCTAGGTTCAATACTCCAGATGACTGTGAACCTGCAAGGGGGAAACCCAACTGAAAATTAGTTTTTAGTGCATGTTAACCGGTAATTCAAGAGTCATGACTCACCACCCTGGGTAGTATCACCAGCAGTTGTACTACGGTTTGCTTCGTTCGTAATATTGGCCTGGACACCGTCTACAACATCAGAAATCCAGTTATGTTCGCTATCTACAGCTCCTCCTTCAGGTGGTCCAGTCTGACCTCCCTCTTGATCACCGCTCTGATCACCACCTGGATTGTCTCCGGAAGGATTGTCATCAGGAATATCTGGATTCATTTCTGAGGTATCAGGTATAGCTTAAGAAAATTGTAGTTATTTCGAAAAGTCTGTTGAATGGAGCTCAGGGATAATAGTGTATCTTGAAGACCGGGAGGGATCAAATTGGAGGGGGGACATGGGCTTGTGTTAACAGCAACTTAAGCTCACGATATACACAAAAATGCTGTGCCTTGAGGATCACAGTCAGAAGAAATACAAGTCACTAAATCCGCCTAAATCAAAGGGAAATACCCTCATGCCCACCCCTTTCACAAGAAAACTTGGAAATTTTGCACAAACAACAAGAAGCTAGATACCCATTGATATTACGTATCAAGCCCTTCCCATCCCTAGATAATCAATACGTCAGTAAATTGCTCCAAAACGTATCACAAGGGCATAACTTACCAGTGTACCCAATCCAACAGCCGTCACTGTTTTGAATCCAATCCCAAAGGTTCCTTCAGGGTTCTTAAGAACAGCTACATGCCCAATAATTTTTGTGTGCTCAACAATAATTGGAACTTCAAATTCGTCTCGAACCAACCGGCAATTCAGGTCCGGATATTCGTTGTAAGGATCGTCACTCTTGTCCAGCTCTTTGAAAGGATAAACGATAACCCACGTCTTCCCAGGAGTTTGTATTGAACCAAATATTTCCTTGATGGTGCCAAACCTTTGGTTGACACCAAACAAAAACTCAACATAAGAATTTCCAAGATGGTGATTTGCTGTGCTAAAGTTCTTCCCCTCAATTTTAATCATCTTCCTTGTTGATACTGCGGCATTAAGCTCCATGCAATTTCCACCGAGCTTTCCCCTGGATGACTCTTTCCCTGCAATAGCCCGCTTCCACTTTTTCATCATTTGCTCATCGAGATTCAGATTGGTCTTCTCCTCCTCCTGGTCCGATGTGCCCACCAACTGGCCTTTATTCCTTTCCACCCCGCGGATAAGGAATTGAAGGGTGGAGTTGACATGCCAATTCTTCAATAGTGTTTTTGGTATCTCGGCTAATAACAAGACATATATCTTTTCAGCTGTATGTCATGTGATAAGGAGTGAAATAAAAACAAACTGACATGGGTGGTGATTCGTGGGCAATCTCTGCAGCATCCCATTGACACGTTCTTGAGCCCATGCTGCTGTTGATCTAGGTGGACCTAAACTCCGTATGACATTAGAATAGTGCTGTGTCAGATGCAGGTTAGGCTTGCTTGATTGCTGCGGCCAGCCTTGCTGGAGACATTTTCTGTATTGGACTATCAAGTCATCAAGTTCTGGTAGATCTCTTGGGTTGATCTTCGGTGAGGTGAGGAAATGGGAAATCCTAGAGAGTAGAGTTGTTGATTCTAGCAATGTTGAAACACGTTCCTTTTCTTCTTCTGTAGCACACTCCGCATAAGCCTTCTTCCAAATAGGAATTAGTGCAATTGTGTAGTAAACTTTGTAGAGGATCAGCCACTCAGCAGCCTTGAGTGAGCCATGACTTTTGGACCCCAAATTGTAGGGAACTCGGTCAACCCACGAAGGGACTGTCGTGTGAATGAGTGTTCTCCTAACCACCTCAAGCTCGTCAGCCCTCAATCGATGTGAGATTCCACCCTCCTTTCCCAGTGGCGTCAGTGACCTGTCTCGCTTTGGTCCCCTTTCGGTACAATCACTGTTGCGGTCGTCTTCTGAGTGTTCAGTATCTGCACTTTCATTGCATATGTTGTAAATTGCCTGTTTTCGAGCTCGTAAATTATAAGAGTGGCTTGTTTGCGTGGTCTCAGAGCTTTGGTTGGAGGAGTCTTCAGACTCAGATCCAGGATTGGGTTGATGTTTGGATTGTCTCCCTTGGAGGGAAGGACCTGGTTGAGTATTGCGGCCTCTCTTGGCTGGCTTGAGTGATGTAGGTTTGTTGTTTGGTTCTTCAGTGCGCTTCCGCTTCCCAGGATTCTTCTTTGGTTCAGCTGGAAAGAGATTGGTGAATGGAAGTGCCGTAAAGTGGTCATCCATCTGCCACTCTTCCTCTTTTTCCTGAGCTGCCTGGAGTTGTTTTGCTGCCGAGGGGAGGTAAAGGAACCGGAGGCTGTGATCCTTCAAGTCGCCAAGAATTAATGCATGCATCAGCTCAATTGAGCAATGATCCACCGGCCGCCAGTGCGGGAGCTCATTCAGAACGCTCCATCTTGTGCCATATTTCTTCATAAAGCTCTGCCGGCCCTTGTAGCTATCAAGTGCCAACCACTCTTTTGCATGCAGTAGATGTTGCTCGTTGGATCGCACCGGAAACTTTGTTTGATCCGTTTCTTCTAAGTCCTTCTTATCCAAAAGGCAAAAGGAGCAGAACAAGGTTGCTGCATGACTTCCAAATCCAGCTGCTTTGCGGAGTGCGGGAAGTTCAGCAATCAGGGGGAAGACTACAGCACGGATAACCCTCCCTTGAGGATGTGATTCAGTGGATTGGAATTGAACACCCTTCCAAAAAGCCTTCAGCTCGGTGACTAAGGGTCGCAATAGGTGGTTCACTTGTTCAAGACAAGGCTCTTTAGGGCCCGGGATAACCCCAAAGAGGAATATATTTTCAACCTTGTAGCGTTGACCAGGCGGGAGATTTAAGCAGATCAGAGTAATGGCCCCGACAGAATTGTGTGAACCAAGGCTTGATGATCCCTCTGCATTGAACCAGTCAAGATACAGGCTGAATACCAGGTTTCCAGACGTCTTGGTGTAGATCCCATTACCCCCTTCTGTTTCAGGAAACTCCTGCCACACCTTTCCGTCCCACACATCCTCCATCACCTGATCCGAACCTAGAAAATTGGCCAACAGGCTGTCATCTAGTTGTGTATCAAAGTGTGATTCCAAAAGTCAAGCCTTGAGCCAAGTTTCAAGTTTCATATAACTGAATGTACGTAATGGCTTCAGTTTATTCTTTTGATTTGGTGCCAGCAAGTCTTGGCTACATTCTGGCTTGACCGCCTGCTCTTTTGCCCATTTGCAAAAGGTCTGATAGGATGATAGGAAGGCCTGGTTGCATTTTTTTTGGGCACGGGTTTTCCTTGTTGTATAGTGGGTACAGGGCAAAACACTTCCTGCAGCAGGCTTGTGTAGTCAGATCAGGGTTGAGTCCAAGACGGTTAAAGAC